AATCGTTGAACATCGCAAATAGGGTATCGACGACACCATGTACGTGGTCATAGCTTTAATAAAAAAGTTCGCAAACATTTGTCTCGCAAAGGGATAAAAAATACAAGGAATGAACTATCTGTCTGTAAATGCGATATCGATTGACTATCTTGTCGCCTTGTACTATGGTACTCTAAGTGACATTAAAATACTTCAGTCAGAATAGCATTCGAATGCATCTCAATGAGTAAACTTTTATTCGATTCATATTGACTCGTTGAGGTTTACTTCTTTTTTTCTTCCTTTAAATTTTTATAGTGAGGGAGAAGACTCGTGATTGCACACGATAATGCAATATTATCACACTTATTCGTATAAACTTGCACACAAAAAAGGAGAAAAAGGTGTTTCACCAATTATACAATCCTATATTTATAATTTATTTACGTATTGCCTTCCCTTAACGAGTAATTGATTAAAGTAGTATGGAAAAATAAAATCGTACATATATATAATGTTCTCAATTATTTAGTATAAAGCAAATTCAACGAAGCATAGTGTTAAATTAGAAGAATAACGTAAAAATATTGTTAATTATATTTTGTATATTCTGTAATTATTTATTTGAGAATTAACGCGAAAACTCGAATATAATATTTTTATATAAAGTGTTCTGTATTATTTATTATTACAAAAATTTAAAATTTTCTTTTTTCCTTCATTTAAGCGTAAAATTCAAATAAAACAATAATACTTGCAACATTTGTATAATATGCTTCATACTAATTAATTTTCATAGCATGAATTAACACTTGATTACAGACATACTTGCAGTCATAAGTTGTACTAATAAATCAGGAATTTAGCGAATATCATCTTTTATTACTGACACTTTTTGCTCCTTTACCTCATTTCCTTTCTTTTTTTTCATTTTAATCAATATATGCAAAATCTTCATTCCGATTTTGCATTTTATAAATTTGATGTTTATATACCCGTATAATTAAAAGTACAGCCATATTATGACATGAGAATGAATATTCAAGAAGGAAAAATCTAAAATATATAAAAAACAAAATTTCAATACTGTAAGTTAAAATTATCAATTCAAAAAGTCTATTATTTTTTGCATTAACAAATAAAGTAAAAAAATACATGTCAAATATAAGAGAATATAGAGAATATACTCATGATTATTTTAAGTTAAGGAAGAAAAAGTAGGACAAGAATATTATCGATAAAACACATATATGGAGTTAAGAAGGATTCTTTTTTTCAATCTACATGCACCCTGCGTTAAAAAAGCACGCTTTTTCGCCATCGTATTTTCTTTTTCTTATCCAGAATATTAATATATCTATGAGATACTTTTGATTGGTCGATTCTAGAAACTAAAACAAAAATTTTGATTAAGATTTATTTATTAAGAAGTTGAAGTTTTTATTAGATGAAGCGAAATATAGATAAATTTCATTCTATCTAATTCAAACTTTAATTACTTATTTAATAAATGAACCTCAACCGATAATTTTGTATATCAATTATAGTGTCTTTTTTCTTTAGAATTGACTTTCTGAAATCTCATGAATATATTAATATTCTATATAGATTGCATTATACATATTTTCGAATGATATTAAATACCAATGGAAATTCGATGGCCTTAAATCTATCTTCTTCTTTTATGTATAGCCATTACAAATTATATGATAGTTTAGATTCTTTATTTTCTATGACGCTTTATCAAAATTCGTCTATTAAATATATATATAAATATATATATATATATATATGTGTCTCGCGTTTGCTACTTCCATCCACTTAATTCAAGATCAAGTGGAAATATATCTTAATTTCCTTTTTTTTTAACTCCTATTACCATTGTTACGTATACATATTGCATTAACAAGTATCTTCACTTGTGCAGAAACTGGTACTCCAAAATGTCTTCTTCATCTGTAAAAGAGAAATGTGCATCTTATGTTTTAAGTCTCAAGAATGTTTATTTTCTAGCTGCACTAAAAGGACATACTATAATATATTTTGGAGGAATATATAGACAACGATATGTAACGAAAAAATGATTAAAATAAAGGAAATATACGTATACAAGATATAAAAAAAATAGTATTTGTCTTGTATATGTAAATTTATGCAAGAATAATTGCAAACTATTGGCAATACAGATACGAGACAATATATTCTACTATTGCAAATAAACGCATTCGTAGATTTTTGTTACAAATACTCGTACGATGCTGTATTTATTTGAACAAGCAGTGGAGTGCAAAAATTTCAAGACAAGTTTAAAGATGCTTTGTGTTAATTTTATTATTAAAATTATCGATAAATATTTTATTCATTAATAGAAACTTAAATAATAAGAGAAAAATTTAACTGAACGTAAAATGAAGCAAGAGAATAGAAATTTAAAGATTAATTAAAATAAAAAGAAGATTACTTGTAAAACTTTCAGATACAGATGATTTTCTAATGTTTTAGCTCGAAAGATAAAGATATACGGAAAGAAAGGAATCAGCGATGAGTCACTCGACGTGACAAAATAAAATACACTCACAGATATTGTCTCTGCTATTGTTGTCCAAATCGCTAGTCTGTGTACGAGTTTCCTCGTGCATACGCCGCTCTGCATCAATCGCCAGCGCAGCACAAGGCACAAAAATGACTCGATTACGTCTTTGACACGGTGTAATCCACATGCGCACAACGTAAGTTGCAAAGGAAATTGAGTCATTTGTTAGACAGAAAGCAGCACGTCCTTTTAGAGCGGCACAATAAATAGAAAATAAAATAAACCAAGTTAAAAGTATGTCTGTGAATCGCAAAATTCATATTTTTATTTTTTTTTTTTTTATAATTTTTTAAAATTTGCATTTCTTATCATTCAGATGATGGTGAAATTGCGTCATCTTGTAAATACTAATTTTGCATTTCTCAAACATACTGTACAACCTGTCTGCAACATAAAATATGTATATATTTTACAGAATAATATATAATAATTGATACCGTAATGATATCGGTAAACCAGTTTTGTAAACTACCTTCTTAAATATTGAATTACATAATTATTTGCAGCAAAATGAAAACGTTCATTGAAATTAATGATTAAATGCCAGTGCGCAATTTTCCAATGAAATCTTTGCTATATAATATATTATGTGCTTTATCAAACTGGTAAAAAATTTTTTGCGATATATAATACCGTTATATTATTCTCTAGAGACAGTACATATATAAAAAGTGGATCTATTTATGGATAATTATAAGATGCCGAAGAAAAAGAAAAGTAAAAAAATTTTAATTGTTATTTTTGGAAAATTGCACGAATGATTAATCAACGAAATTTTCAAACATGGTTCATGTTATATAAAAAACATCAATAATATTCTATAATATATGTTTTATAAATATTAAGAAAGCAATGTAAATAGTTCATGTAAATATAAAAAGTAGTAAAATCGATACAAAAAAATAATAAAAATTATTAAATTGTTCTTTTTCTTTTTTCTCAATGTGAAATGTTCAAAAGAAACATTGCACCACATTTGAAATTATTCTTATAATGTTATAACGCCAATGCATTTATGTGCATATCGAATGCAAATATTTTCTAGCGGCATTTTATAAAAAGAATATTATTTCGATACAATGTGATATACTAAATAAAAATTTATATAATAATAACGCAACGGCAAGACGCAATTAAATGTAACAAATGTTTGTTGAAATTAAATAAGCTTGTGTGTGTGAGATGCAGAAGATAATTCATAATAATTTGTAATAATTCGTAAGATAAAATGACATCAATGAACATAAACAATAAAGAAATGCATACACCTGGGAAGCTTGTATATATAAATTATAAGTCGCAGTTTCTTCAGTATTTTCTAACACTGATAAGATGGCACATTTAATATGAGCATAATTCGATCTATTTACATATTGTCGAACCTGTGATGCAATACCACATAACATAATTGTGAACAATTTTTTTGTCATCATCAAATAACTTGAATTAGTAGGAATACAATAAAAATTTGTCCTTTACGCATGGACAATGTTTTTTAAATGATTCACTAATAATTACTCAATATACAATAATATTTGTATTGCATATATTCTTTTTATATATACATATGTTTTCTTTTGTTTTTCTTTTTTTAAAAACAAATTATTCTTAAAAAATGAATTTCAAAAGTAATAATTAGTGAATCTTTTAACATTTCGAAACAATATCCTCTCGATTTTAAAGAAATAGCTGCCCCATTGTCGTAGACAATCCTAGAACGCAAGCAATGGAAAAATATTAATAAAAATACATACCTTTTTTTTTTTTTTTTTTTTTTTTTT